AAACAATTGAAGTTTTAATTTCAAACTTACATTCAATATGATAAACACATAAGGACAAGAACTTTTCAATTTAAAATTAAACCTGCTAAATATTTTAAGAGAAAAAATGAATTTACAAATACCCTATTCATTTACATTTACATTATCTTCACTTTTTACCTTANTATTCATTTACATTTACATTATCTTCACTTTACCCTAAAACTATAATTTTTTATTATTGTGGTATTATGTTCATATATTGCAATGGATTAATATCTAAACATTTAACTTTGTTAAAACATAAAAAATAATGAAATTTAATTTATCATGAATTTAATCAAAAAACTATTTTAACAAATTTTGTTTAGATCAATATTTAAAAACTACTTAAAGCAATATGTTTATTAAAAAAAAATGACATAAGTCAATATTGTTGGATTTATTGAATGAGAAATGTGTAATTTTTGAAAAAAAAAAACTAATCTAATCTTAATTCCTAATTAATGTAGCACAAAAAAATGTGAAAAAGTAAAAGGTATTGTTACATTGCTATTAAGGGGTTGAGCCTAAATGCCTCTTAACAGTATTCTGCCGACCAACGAGGCTAGCTGGCTAGGCTATATCTACCGTAGGTACCGAGGTTTCCTATTTAATTTACATTCCCTTTAAACTAACTATCAAGGGTCACACTAGAAATATATATATAATACTCTAGATTAGCAACGATATAAGTATTTATTAAATCTACAATACAACATCTAGAGATGATAATAATATAACAGGAGCTGACGGCAACCCACACACTATTTCGATGGTAGCTAATATAAGTTAAATATAAATCAATAGAGAAATGGTTTCAATGTTAAAAAGTCAACTGACGTTTGGAACATTAGTATTATGACACAGTGGCCGTGAATTCCAAAAGTGTTTATATGTGCAGTCCGCCCCCCTGTAGTAATACGTGTATCACTGTGTCAACGTTATAAGCTTAGTCGGCGATACAATAATGTTATGGAATATGATCACATATATGTGGTCGTATCAGTATTATCATAGAAGATATTTACCTTTAGCAGAACAATTTGCCGCCTTGTGGCCTTTTAATTGGCAAAAGTTACAAGCTGTAAAACAATAGTTTTATAAATTATTAGTTTAAAATTACAAAACTGAAAAAAGTATGCAACTAAAAGAAAAGAAAAAAAAATTTAATATTTTTTATATATTAGGATAAATCGAGTGTCTAGCATTAAAAGAATCATTTCATATATATTTTGGTTTTTCTGTCATAATCCAATCTCTGGATATGACAGAAAAAACAAAAAAAAGAACAAAGAAACCTCACTAATAATTTAACTTATATTTTTAATTTTTAATAATTTAAATATTCATAAATAAAATCTTAATTTTACTTACACCCTCCAAATTTTTTTTCTCTTCCATCACGTCCACTTACACCACGTCCACTTACACCACGTCCTCTTCCTCCACGTCCTCTTCCACCACGTCCTCTTCCACCACGTCCTGTTTCATTACTTCCACCACGTCCTGTTTCATTGCTTCCCCTCACAACAAGTGGAGGATTTCCTTCCACGCTATTAGGAAGAATTTTTTCATTTGCATAGACATAAAATGTGAATGACATCTGGAAAAAAAATTGAAATTAATAGCATAAGCCACACAATGAAAAAAAAGTCAGTAGCACAACTACCGGTCTTCAGCGGCAACAGTTTTATATTTTCATCCCCAAAAATTTAGAAAATTGTATAAATAGTTACATCAAAATATTAAATTCAGTACTACCAAAAATATTTTTATGACGCCCATATTTCATCCAAATAAAATAGTCGTAACAATAAAGATATAACATCATTGACGAAAGGTGGAAGGCTAGGAGGCCTTAGTTCCCCAATAATTTAACCTCCCAAAAAATTAGAAAAATTATATACATTACATAAAATTGTGCATTAAATATTTTAATGATATGAAATATTACAAAAAATAAGTACAGAACACTAAAAAACAAGAACACTAGTAGAACAAGAAAAAAAAAAGAATATTTAGTCAAGTTTTATTCCGATTAACAGCCTTAAAAAATCAATCATAGTAAATTTCAATATACTATAATAAGAGAATTGAAAATAACAATTGCAAACAAAAAATGTTACTACTATACTCACATTGACATCAGACGCCTACGAGAGCTGATCAACTAATGACAAGTACTGCACGGAAGATTACGTGAAACACCAAACTATTAACAACTAGCGATATTTATTGTATTCTATTTAGATCTAATAATAACGTTTACATTTTATAGATATTTTCCTATAAAAAAAAACTGACAAGTTTTTAAATAGAATCATTTAAGTTAATACTAACTCATATAATATTAATAAACGTATAATAAAATAAAATCCTATTCAATGTAATTGGTTATGTATTAATTGCTATTAAAGTTGAAAAATTAACATTTTTTACTATATCATTTTTAATTGTCACAAAATTAAAATACTGTAAGTTTTTTATGAATCATCTTAGTAGTCAATAAATATATTATGTAATAATCGAAAGAGTTTTTGAAAATTTCTATTTTCGAAGGGGTTGCGATTTTTGAATTTTAATAGTATTTAGAGAACAATAAAAGTTAAGGTTAACAAAATTATTTGAAATTATAATCCTCAACATATAATATAAGTGTTAATTTTATATAATATATAATATATATGTCTTAAAAAAATATTTTTGTTATAACTAATATATCAGAATAAGCGTAAAAATATTAGTTCCCAGGCGCAGTAACGACTTTATACCTACGAGCGCCTCTTGCAAAAATAATCTTAGCACACCATAAAAATAAGGCATAATCTGATTTTTAATCTACGAACTAAAATTAAATCTTTTCAACTTTTGAAAATATAACACTTTTCCAGTTGAATTTGTCATTCAGCACCGCCATATTGCGGCAAATTTCTATAAAATTTGAGTTGTAAAGTAAAAATTCCGATATCGTTTAGAAAAAATTAACGTCGTCACAGATCTTTAAGTATGTACAACACAGACACGTATCCAGCTTATCGTCTGAAATTTTGAGTATTAAAAAACAAAATGTTTATAATAAGTGTTTTAAAGTTAAAAAAATTCAAATTTGATATTATTTTTTTAATCTCCACTTAAAAGAGGTCATAAAAGGGGAACCCATTCGATTTTTGACACTGTACGCCAGAATATATGCTTGTAAGGTCATTAAATTTTAAATTTACTTGTTTTGTTTTTTTTAACTCGTTTTAAATAATTATAAAAAATAATATCTATAGAATATTAATGAGACTTATGAAATACTTTTTATATATAAAATGAATGTACATATTATTTAGTAATTTTAATTGGTAATGTTTATTTTTAACTTTAATGAATACATCTGAAGTATATACACATATAATATTTGCAGCATAAATTAAAAAGGCATTTAATGTATTTTAATAAATAATGTCTTACTTAATAACAGCAATAAGTCAATATAAAATAAAATAATTTACATGTATTAATAATAATTTATTATTTAATTAAATCTAAATATTATTTTTCTTGTCAGGCCCGGATTAAGGGGGAGCCATGATTCCGGGGCTTCAAAATTTTGAAGTTTTTTGAGGATCTCACAATAATTGCATATTCAAAAAATAATCAACGATCTTTAAACTATGAATAAATAAAAATGTTTTATTTCACTCTTAACAATGAAATATTTGATAAAAGTATTGCTTGAGCCGATTATAAAATCTGACTCCGGGGCTCCAAATAAGTATAATCCGGGCTTTTTTCTTGTACTTAATAATAAATAAATAAATCAACTGTTTAAAGAAATATAGTGCATAACTTTCTTGATAAATATATGTTAAAAAACAACTTAACTATTTAAACAAATCTATGTAAAAAAAATTAAATTTATACCCTTTTTTAGGTTTTCAGTTCATTTTTTAAGGTACACTTATAATACACACATATATATTTTGTATTAAACCAAAAAGTTACACGTTTTCACTTATATATCCAAGTTACCAGAGTAATCACTTGATTTATAGCTTTGGAACTACTATTTGAATATAACATAGATTCTTCAGAATATCGATTTAAACATTATTGTTTAATAAAATTAATGCTTCAGAACACAATTTTTTTTCTTTTATACTTTTATACTCAAACTAATAAAAATAATGAGAGCATCAGATAAAGTGCAAAGAATATGTATGAGGTCTGTGTTGGTATCTCATCTCAAAGTTTTACGGATATTATGGCGTCTAAATGTGATGTAACCTTTATTTTATGCTTCCTCAAATAAACTACCCATTGGAAAATGAACAAGTTCAATAACTTTTTAACCATATATTAAGATCCTATAGAAACGTGGAGGCATTTATACCACAGATATAATTTCAAATACACCATAAAAGTATCTTTTATATAATTCTCACATTTTTTTGGATTTACATAATTACATGCCAATATACTTAAAATCACTTTAAAACATTTAACAAGTTTTTTATTTAATTCAGTTATTTCAGAAAGTACCATAATACCGCTACGCGTCCTTTTTTATCCCTCATCTCAAAAATATATCGTTGATACATTGATTGTTGTTACCCTGACCTACCATCACTGGAAAACCAACGTTAATATAATTCGACGCATAATTCGGAGAATTACACTGTACGGCCGTTTTATAAATAAAACATTCTGAAACATATTTAGAATTTAATATCCTAAAAAATATATAAATACTACTCGCCAGTAAATTAATCAACCTATTAGGGCCGATCTATAATAATCTGTTTATAATAATTTTCCACCTGTGAAACAAACATCTGTTCAATAAAAAAAATTGTATCTAACTTTAATGTAGTAAACGTTATTATTCTTTATCGCTTTTCGCGGAAATTCTTCTATTGTTCACTAGTTTATTTTTAATACAACATACACCCTCTTAGATAACTAATATTATGAATTCTTTACGACGTATATTCCGTTATTGATAAGTACAGTTTTATTTCACAAATCCGTTACTACAAACAAAACAAATCCATCTTATATTGATAGTTTTTAACTATGTATGTAATTCTATACGAAGTGGTAATGTACTTAAAAGCGTTTTTTAAATATTTTTCTAAATCTAAAATTATGAAATTTTATCCCTAGGATTTCATTAAGAACAAAAATAAGTTAAATCATACATAATTCACAGAATTCTCTTATAAATTGAGGTGACACTTGATTTTATTTTACTCTAAATTGAGTGACTAATGAAAAAACGCTGAAATTGAACGCATCTTCAACATTTATAATTTTTTTAAATAAATTTTCCCTATTGGCTTGTTCAATATTACAAAAAATTAAAAAAGAGACCTTACCTCAAAACTTCCTGTAAAATTAACACTTAAATTGTCACTTGAAAAAGTCATTTTTAACACTTTGGAAAAGTTTTTGTTAAAACAATTACGTATGTCTTGTTACACTATAAAGAATTGGTAAAAGGAAACAAGTATAATCAGTTATCCCGATTTTTAAATATACAAAATGTCCCACCATGTTCTGACATCTTCAATAACTTTTGGTTCAACAAATATTTTGTTTTTATTTTTTTAAATAATTTGTATAGTTATGAACTACTTTAAAAGCATATTTTTTATTAATTGTCTCAAAAAATTTTTTTTTTTAATTTTTAAAATTATTTTTTAGTCTTATTTTTTACAAAAAATTGTGTTGCGTCGATATAACTTTAAGATAAGTACTATTGAATTACAAGCATTTTAATACATAGTGGGTATGGAACGCCTGTACGTGTACCAGTACAGGCTGCATCCACATGCGAACATACTCACTCAATGTATTAAAGTACTTGTAACTTGATAAGTAATTACACTGAAATTATCATAATGTATAATTATTATTAATAATAATGTTCATTGAAATTAAACGGTTTTCATGAAATGTTTTTTAAGTTTTCATTGAAAACTTTTCACACATCTCTGAGAATTATGCATTTTCAAAAATAATTCGAAATGAGTCTAGGTGATATTTTTACATAATTGGAAAGCCTATAAAGTTTCCCACAAAACTGTACTAAATGTTTAATAAAAGAGAAATATATGATTTAGTTTAATTTTGTTGAGCTATATTATACGCGATAAATTCATTAAAGAATAAACACAACACGGTGTCGTTTTTTAGTTTAACTATCACTCGCTGCGTATAAATACCAGCAAATCATAATGTACATTTAAGGTTAAAATTCAGTAATTAGGTAAATTATTCTTAAAACCCTTCTTTTTTTTTAATAATATATGTATGTATGTATAATTATTTATTGTTATTTATCCATTCTTATTTAATTATAAATGAATGATGAGCAATTTATGGTCAACTTTTACTTGAATGGTCAAATTGACATTTTTTGCTAGAAATATTTTCCAAAAATTTAGGCAAGAAAAAAAACCAATTCTAAAAAATATCAATTAATAGGACGCCGCCCAATACATGCAAACGAAACAACGATATGACTGAGAAAATGCGCTTTTAGATGTTTATTAAACCGCTTGTTAAATGTTAAAGTGTTACGAGTATCACATTTGTAGTTAATAATTTATCCACAGCAATGAAAAAATTAATTTTATAGTTTACTGTATATACTTGTTTGTGTTATATGAAATCTATGATAATAATATTTAGTAATATGTATGTAGTTGGTACTTAGTTAAGTTTAAACATTGGATATAATTAAAATTGTTGGCGAATTAATAATTTAAATTTTAGCCGATTGTAAATCGTTTCTTTTTGTCTAAGAATAGAAAATAAAATTTGTTTTATATCTCTTTATGCAGCTATCCACGACTAAATTACCTTTAATTTACAGTAGTCTG